AGTTGTAAAGAATTAATAAACTTATTTCTCAAACCAGCTAACAAGTAACAAAATACAACAACATTTTTTTTAGCATTCTCCTTATTAAATTCAGATCTATCAATTGGCACAAACATTTCAATTAATTCATCAAAAAATCCAATTAATATAGGTTGATATTTTTTGATCATTATTTTAAATTTATCTGGATTTAATTCAAGATTTGAATTAAAATCCTTTTGAAGGTAAAATAAAGAATCAGATAAAATTTTAATTTTACAACTGAATTTATTAGATTTACTAATTTGATTATTTCTATAAACATTCAATTCTGACTCCATACTAGATATTTTTTGCAATAAAAGATCAAAATTATCTTTTGTTAAATTTGGTTTATCATTTGCCATATCAACTTTTATATCTGACCAATTTTCAAAATTATTTGAAGAATTATCATTTTTATTTTTTAATAAATCAGATAAATTAGTTTGGTAAAAATTTGATGATTTTTTTTTTAACATTCCTGTCTGGCTCTACAATCATTAAATAATGTTTAGGACATATTTTATCACCAATATTTAGATAATTATACATAGAGAGCGTCTCATTTTCTTCAGATTTTTTTTTTGCACCAGGTGTAAATGTTCTGATATCTTTGTTTGACTCACAATCCAAAACTTGACAATAATTTATATTTTGAGACATTTTTTAATAATAATAGGGATTTTGATTGTTGTAAAAGAGATAATATTTATTAAATAATTTTTATGTAATAATTTTAAATTAATATTTATAATTTATATATACTCTTTTTTATTAATAAAATTCAACTCAAGGTAATAAAATACTATTTTTAGTTTCAACCTTTAAAATTTTGTTTTTGTAAAAGATCTTCAAGCCAATAAAATTTGATTTTTGTGTGATTGTTTGGAGGGTGATCGTCATAAAATTTAGCCAATGAAATCAAAATCACAATGTGATAAACGAACAATAATGAGGAAATGGTCCATATTTATTTTACCCCCAAATTTTCGGCATATATATATTACAGATATGATTGGGTAATAGAAATTACACGAATAAACATTGATCATTCGGATTTTTATTTTTTTTATTGTAACTTAGCAGTTAAACTTACTATTACACACACACATCTTTTTGTTACAAAATTCATTAAATCTATTATTTATTTAATTAATTAATAAAAAAAGTGTGCGAAAGAAATAACTGAGGAATTTTAACGACACTAATTAAAAAATAAAAAAAACAAAAAAACAATGGCAGCTACAAGTCCCTCAGAATTTAGTAATCCTTTAAGAAAATTTAAGTTAGTTTTTCTTGGTGAACAAAGTGGTAAGTAATGGAAGTAATATGGAAAACGAAATTTAAAGTATATTTGTGTGAAGGTGATAGTTACTTCAATTTAATTAAATTAATTCAATTCTAAATTTTAAATTTTTAATACATATAATAGTTGGAAAAACCTCATTAATAACAAGATTTATGTATGACACATTTGATAATACATATCAAGTAGGTTTATTATGATTATGATTAAAGCATAAGTATTAAATTTATTAATTATTTTTTAATTTAAAGGCAACGATTGGAATTGATTTTTTATCAAAAACAATGTACTTAGAAGATAGAACTGTTAGATTACAATTATGGGATACAGCAGGACAAGTAATTATTCTCATATAAATGTACGTGTGTATATGACGTTTATTAATAATTTCCATCTTTCTAATATTCGTTTAGGAAAGATTTAGAAGTTTAATTCCTAGTTATATTCGAGATTCCTCGGTTGCGGTAGTCGTTTTTGATATTACAAGTAACTATTATTTATTTATATATGTGTATATATATATATATATGTAATATTAATAAAATATTAATATATTTAATGTTTATAGATCGTAGTTCATTTATGAATACTGCCAAATGGATTGATGATGTTCGTGCAGAACGAGGAAATGATGTAATTATTGTATTGGTTGGTAACAAAACTGATTTAAATGATAAAAGGTAAATAAATTTTAAATGAAAAAGCGAAGACGAATGCGAATTAGATGAGAAAGCGAATGTGAAAAATTAAAATTATTCTTTAATGTTTGTTTATTCGTTGAATTTAATTAATTAATTAATTAATTATTAATCATCTCATTTGTTCATTAATTATCATTCATCACATTCAACCCATTCATTTACTCGCTCTAAAAGGCAAGTTACTACTGAAGAGGGAGAAAAGAAATCCAAAGAATTTAATGTCATGTTCATTGAGACTAGTGCAAAAGCCGGCCATAATGTAAAAACGCTTTTCCGTAAAATTGCTCAAGCATTACCTGGAATGGAAAATACAATGAACGAAACTCAAAATCAGCGTAAGTTTTCTAATTAATTAATCGGTTAATTAATTTGGTTGTTTGCTATATTTAATTTGAATATTTAAAAAATTATTATTACACACACACACACATATATAAACAGTTATCGATGTGAACATTAATTCTGGTACTCAAAATGCTAGTGAAGGAAGTGGATGTGCTTGCTAATCAATTCCGTCAATTCAATAAAAGAAATAATAATAATAATAAATTAAGTGAATTTTTTTTTTTTTTGAAAAAAAAAATAATAAGTAATTATATTAATTAATAATTGATTTTTTTATATGTGAACAATGAATTTTTTTGTTTTAAATTAATAAATAGATTTATATATATATATATATGTATGTATGTATATGTATGTATTGTATTAATAATTCAAAATGTTTTAATTTTCTTTACAAGAGAAAAATAAACTTTTTTACGATATTTTAGTATTTTATATAATTTTTTTTATATCAGATATATAATGTTAAGATTACAATAAATTTTATATAAACATATATATATATAAAATTTTATAATGATTACATTTTTATTTATTTACTATTATTATTACTATTATTATTATGTATTAAATCATTGGTTTATTTCTTTTTCTTTTTTTGATTCAAGTCGTTTGCTGCTTTAATTGGATCAAACCCTGGTATATTAGGAATCTTGCCATCCTATAATTATAAAAAAAAAAAATAATTAATATTAGTATTTTATTTTCTTGCCACCAAAAAAAAAGTAAAAAGTAGTTGATTAATTTACCTGAAGAGGACAATCAATGTTTACTTGTCTTTTAATACTATAAGGTGGAAAAGATATTACTAGAACTTTTAAGGACAATGACACCGTGTAATTTATAGTGATTTTTTGTTTTCCACTTGATCCAATTAATCCACATTTTGAAGCAATATCGAGCAAAATTGCAAAATTTGGATCAATTTCTTTATCATAACGAATCGAAAATGGAAAATTTATTGTTGTGTTGCCTCTACTCTCGATATTCACATTGGTCAAATTACCACCACCGATTGACTTGTCAAAGTTCGGATAGAAAGCAACCACATTGATCAATGAAAAGGTTGCACCAATAACATTCGGATTATTTACCCTAATTTTCAATCCAACATTAAAGTCAAATCCAGTTGGTGTCTTAACATAAGCCTCAACATCATTTGGCGATGGGCCTATCTCCAGAAATTCCACTTGAGGCTGTTTGCCAAATATCACTACTCCAGCCACCACGCCAATAATTATCAAAATCAACAAACAACAAATTATTGCGCATATTTTACATTTACTTTTCTTGGTACTGCCGCAACATATATATTTCATTAATCCACCATATTTTCCCTTTTGTTTCTCATCTTCATCTTCAATATTCAACAGTCTTTTTTCAGATCTGGGACTCATTGGATTATATTCATCCTCGTAAATTGTCGACTTTTTTTTCTGATGTTGATGTATAGCTGTTGGACTGCTATCTATTGGACTATAAGAATCCCCAGGATTAACTTTAGAACTTTTTGTAAACGGAAATCCCATAGGTAAGATTGTTTGTCCTTGTGGTGGAGGACTATGAAATTGATTTGGTTGTGGTTGGGATGAATATTGTTCCTGATTATGCTGTTGTGTATATGGATGAGAATTTTGACGATCATATGTACGTTTAGGTTGAAATTGTGATTGTGGAGGAATTGTCGTCGAAGGTGATGTTGATTGTGGAATTGACGGTGAATGTGATGGCGACAATGATCGAGTGTATTGTGATGGTGATGTTGATGATGGATGACGATTATCATGATGATGTTGTGATGGTAGATAACGATGATCATATGATTGCGATTGTGGGATTGCCATTGAAGGTGATGTTGATTGTGATCGAATGGATGGTGATGGATACGTTGTATGTGGTGATGGTATTGATAATGGCGGAAGTTCACGATGATTATGATAATTATGTGATTGTAAAGGCATTGGTATTGGTGTTGTTGGATGTTTTGAAGAGAATTGTGGTTTAAGATTTCCATAATTATTATGATTATTATGATTGTTAGTATTGTTAGTATTATAATCAGATGTTAGGCCATTTGATTGACTTACGACTGATAAACTTGAATAGTTTTCGGAGTGACTAGAATTATAATTATGATTAGAATTAATTAATATATTCTTTTAACCGGCAATTGATTGCTATAAATAAAAACAATGATAATGAATTTACCCTTGATCTCCAATTGAACCAACTACGCCTGATGGTGCTAAAAAAGGTTGCCCAGCATTATTATTATTATTTTTATAGTTATAGTTATTATTAATATTATTACTATAGTTATTATTATTGTTATTATAATAGTTATTATTACTAAAGTTATTATTATTTAAATAATTATTGTTACCATGGTACCCACTATTGTTGTTATTATTATACATGATCGAGCGAATAAAATTAAATAGTTTTTTTGATAGATTTTTTTTTTACAACATTTGAAAAAAATTTTTAAAAAAATTACAAAATAAAAAAATATATATTTTTTTTTTAAATTTTTTTATAATACAAAAAATATTATATGTATATATGTGTATAATAATATAATAATAACTTTCTTATTATCTTATTTTTACTGACATTTATTATTTTGTTAAGTTTTTTTATTGATATATATCTATCTATCTATCTATCTATTGATAGTAATCGGATGTTCTTGTAATACACTGAAAGAGGCTTCAATTCTAGTAATAGAATAAATGAAAAGAGGAATAGTGAAGAGGCAATGCAATAAATATTGATAAATTTTTTTAGAAATTATGGTTTATACAATTTGCTAAGAGAAAGAATACGAGAAGGAATTTTATGTTAGATACGGGGGATGTGGAGTATGGAATGAAAAAAAATATTATGTGAATAGGAGAAGTGGAATAAAGAGAGGGAGAGAAAAAAAGGAGAAGTGGGAGAAATGGATGGGAGAAATATGGGGTGGAGATATATGGGATAAGGATAATTGTGTAAACGGTACGTATGAGTAAAAAAAAAGGTTTTGTTGTTTTGAGTTATTAATAAAAACTGGTTAAAGGAGAATTCGATAATTTGTGACTCGTTAATTTAATTAGGGAAGAAATTTTAAAAATATTCCTAAATAATATTTTAATGTATGAACAAATAGGTTACACGTATTTTTTAATGAAACATTAATTTCTTTTAATAGTCAATAACGTTTAATCATTTTTATTTATGTTACACATGTCAAGATATTGTGAAGCTCTAATACAATTTGTAACCTTTTTTAATTAGAAACCTTAGCGAAATTAGAGATCGACTAGAAATCAAACCATCAATTATTAATACATGCACGACAAAGTACACCTGATAATAATTAATTCCCACGTATCAACAACTTTTTTAAATTATCAGATAGTAAATAGTATTCTTTCTATATTAATAATATCTGCTAGTCGTTATTTTATCATTAATTTCGATTTAACTTCTATTTCTATTTTGGATTTGAACCTGATTATCGAAACCGAAACCGGAACAAAAAATTTCACACATGATAATCTGTTTAGCTAGCTTGCATAAAATCAAATACATGAGGCTGAGAACCAGAAGATTATGGATAAAAGATTACAACAGAGTGTTAGCAATCTTTAGATGCTATGGTTTCTTTTTAGAATCCACTTCAGGATCTTTATTTCAGAAAACAAGCCACACTAAATATTTTACTCATTGTAACGTATTATAATACTGATGGTCATGTGGTCATATGACATCGTTTGGTCATAGGTCATATGCCTAAATTTTTATGAACCTATTAATATTATATACATATTAAATATGGACGAATCGTACTATATAAAGAAAATATTCTAAAACAAATGCTTTACTATATCGAGCACCGACTTTATGTAAAAACTTTTGACATCATGCGACTCTGGATATATGAACCCCAAAGTTACCTTTAAAATCAAAGACCAGAACCCACGTAAATTTGGATGATGATCGCTAATTTGAGAGTACTGACCCAAACTAAACACGATCAAGTTAAGCTGAGCTCAGTAATTACAAATTTTATTTAATATTAAACTTAAAAAATATTTTTTTTAAAATTAAAAAAAAAGTATATGAAGTTCCTTCTTTGGAGAATTAAAAGTAACTATAAAAAAGAGGAATTTTTGTTAGAGCTAAAAAAAGAAACGGATGTGCTTTGGCTGAATGGAATAATTATGTAGATCGCGTGACACTTTTCTTTTATTGTTATTGTTGTTGTTGTTGTTGTTGTTGTTTGTTCCCCCCACAGAATTAAGGATAATGTAAATATATTATTATGACGAAAAAAACAAAAACAATAATTACTAATTTTTTGACATTAAAACATCCTTCCAAATTCCAAAAATTTTGATGGAAAATTTTTTGATTATTTGTTTATTTTGCTGCATCGATTGGCTGGTTTTGTTGACTAGATGAGATATTTATTATTTTTATTATAGGGAATAGAAATCAAATAAATTTAGAGTAATCACCGAGTCACTTGACTAATTTCGCTATTATACTTATTGAGGTAAATTTTTTTTTATGGCTTATTATATATTAATAACGAATATGTAGGCATAAAATTGGTGTAACTTGAAGCAATGTAAATATAATTATCAGAATTTCATTTTCTTTAGAAAAAAAAATTTTTTTTTAAAAAAATTAAAAAAATAAAAAATAAATAATCCAATAAATAATCCAATAAATAAATCTTGCTACAATTTATATATATAATCAATCATAAATTTCAATAATAATTAATATATATAGTAATATTGAATATTTGAAAACAATATCCAAAATATATATAAAAATAGAAATTTGAATCATGGGCTCACCTGCGGCATCAACAATACCAGTTGATATCAAAAAACATGGTAAAAAACCCAATAATCGTGCTGATTTTGCTAAAAGTCCTAATTCTTATAATAGTCGTATCAACAGCATTAATCGTCTAGCCACTTCGATACCTTCACTTAATAACAACAATAGCAATAATCCTTTATTATCAAAGTCTCAACCTAGTGATTCTTTACTCAACAATAACAATAATGCCAGTGACAGTAATAAACTTAATAGTGCATCACCTCTTTCAAATAGTTTTAATAATAATGGAAAATTTTATGGTGCTACTTCAAATGGATCCATGGATCCTGCCGGCATTAATAATAGTAGTGGTACTAGTGTTGGTGGCGGCGGTAGTGGTAATTCGAATGCTATCCCCATCGATATTCAAAAGCAGAAAAAAGCAGAAATGTTGAAGAATTATTTAGTAACAAAGGATGATCTTGCTCGTAGTCTAGAAAATAATAATAAAAATGCAACAAATTCCTCAGATCAAAATTTACCTGTTTACAATGCAGCTCATTTATTACCAGGCGGCGAAGTAGCCCATGAAATTTACAAATGGCATAACGATATTGAAAGTGCGCCGATGAAACGTACTCGTTCTCAATCTTTATATTTACCAAGATCAAGTGATCTGAATGTTTCAAATATCAGAGAACCAGGTGGATTCCGTCGTCACCATGTTATAATGAAGGCGATACAAGAGGGAAAATCACCGCCAGATATGATTACCAGTAATTTTATTGATTTTTTGGATATGTATGGTCATTTTGCTGGCGAGGATTTATTAGAGGACGAAGATGAAAATATGCATATAGACGATGTGGAAATCTCTGGTGAATATCAACCTATTGAACCTCCCGATACTGTTCCTGTTCATGGTGCTTCACCTTCAAAAGCCGTTTTCTTGCTATTGAAATCGTTTGTTGGGACTGGTGTCATGTTTCTACCCAAGGCGTAAATATTCTTTTTTCTATATGTGTATACGTGTTTTGAGACGTTTTTGGAATAAGATTAATATTGAAAAAATTTTTTTTTTTAAAAATCATTTTTTAGATTTTCAAATGGCGGGATAATTTTTTCAACATTAGTATTAATAGCGATTGCGGCAATATCTTTAACATCATTTTTATTGTTGGTCGAAACAAGATTTTATGTTCCTCATAGTTTTGGCGGTAATTATATAATTATATTAATATATCTATATTTTTTAATGGATAATAAATAATTCCATTTTTTTTTTGTTGTTGTTTAAAAAAGAAATCGGACACCATTTGTATGGTCGTTGGATGAGATATTCTGTATTATTTTCTATTACTATATCGCAAGTAAGCTAAATTATTATCTTTTGCACATATTCTTTATTTGATATCAACATATAATTAATCACGCAAGCGCACACACTCGCTTCTTTCTCTCAACTCCTATAATAGATTGGATTTGTTTGTGCATACATAATATTTGTAGCGGAAAATTTGGAAGCATTATCGAAGCAAATATTAAATTTCCGATATCCAATTTATTACTACATAGCAATGCAAGTATTTGTTTTTATACCGTTTGTGATGATTCGTCGTATATCAAGGCTATCATTCACTGCATTGATTGCCGATGCATTCATCATGTTTGGTCTGTTTTACCTATACTACTATGATGTTCGTGTATTAGCAACTGAAGGTGTTGCTGATATCATAAAATTCAACATGAGCGATTTTGCTCTATTCATTGGTACTGCCATCTTCACATTTGAAGGAATAGGTTTGGTACGTATTATGATTATTGTTTGTTAATGCTAAATGATATCATTGATGATGATAACGATGATGATAATAACGATAACCCTTTTTTTCATTCTTCATTCCTCACTCACAGATCATACCAATTACAGAATCAATGAGAGAGCCCGAAAAATTTCCAAAAGTGTTAACTGGAGTAATGATATTTATCACAATCTTATTCACCTCAATTGGTGTTCTGTCATATGCAGCATTTGGTAAAGAGGTTAAAACAGTGGTGATTCTTAGTTTGCCACAAGACGATCCAATTGTTACACTTGTGGAGGTCTTATATGCACTAGCCATTATGTTATCGATCCCATTGCAATTGTTTCCAGCAATTAGAATTATGGAGAATGGTTTGTTTAAGAAAAGTGGCAAGGATCATTATTGGGTCAAATGGCAAAAAAATTGTTTTAGAATTATGACAGTTGTTGTTTGTGCGTTTATTTCTGGTGCTGGCGCCGATGACTTGGATAAATTTGTTTCATTGATTGGCTCCCTTGCATGGTAATTAATTGTTAAAACGTTTTATCCATAATTATTTACTGTTAACTAATTAATTTATTACTTATTTTATCCATTATAGCGTACCACTTTGTTTTCTATATCCACCACTTTTCCATTATAAAGTTGCAGCACGTACCATCGGTGCAAAATTGATCGATGTGTTTATATTCTCATTTGGAATTTTCTCTTTGTTCTATACCACTTATATAACTCTCTCCAAATGGGCAAGTAGTTAATTGATCGATTGATAACGGAAAGATTTTATTATATAAAAAATTGTAATTTAGTAATTAATATAATTTAGAATTTTGATTTATTTCTTATAAATTAGTATAATAATATAGAATTTAAGTGCTGTATATATACATTCATTCATACATACAAACATATAATATAATACAATAATATAATATAATATAATAAAGTTTTTATTTTTGGCGATAGTTATACGGACTAATTGGAAAATAAATATATCAGAAGATTATCAGATGTAATATTAGTATTAGTTTTTGATCCATCAAACCGAAGAAGAATCTGTAAAAAAAAAGTAAATATGTATAAAAATTGGCCAAGTTACCCATCCATTTTACATGGAAATGGCATTATTATAATTAATTTGTTTAAACGTTAATCAAATCGGCAAAAGTTGAGGGCTTACATGATCGTGTTTTTATCTCAAAATCTTTTGTAAAAGAGAGGTACATAATAAATATTTAACAATAGAATTGGGGTTATCTCATTTCACATAATAATAATTTAAGATTTCAAGAAATCGATTTTTAATTTTTTCTATAAATATCGATCGATATCAATTTTTTTTTATAAACTGTGCTATTTTATCACATCGCCTGTATGTATGTTGATTTCCTTGAAACGAATTTCCTGCTGTTTGTGTTCAAAAGATCTTTAAATCGTGATAGATGAGCAGATTCGACAGATTGCCTACAAAAGAAACTCAATGGATTATATAAGTGAAGAAAGATTGGACTCTAAATTAGCACAAGAGAATTTTATAGCTCGATTGACAATTGGTTATTTTTAGATATACACTCCCCTAAAAAAAAGTATCGACTCACTTGATGATCCGCGAAAATAATCGGGTAAATGGGTAATACAAATACTCATTTTTCAACTAAGCAAATCGATGTTGTGTATTAGTGAGAAAATGTTTAACGAAATGATTCCTATAACATTTTAAAATACCACATCGGACCGATCGTTATTGATAATTTTATGATGTTTAAAAGTCAAATTAAAATTTTTCGAAAATTTTTCAAAAAATTTGCACTTAGAGCTATTTTAAGATACAATGTTTTAACGCATCTTGGGAACTTAGAAAATGTTGTTCCATTTTGTTTTCAAATATATAAATATGAATGTTCATAATTATTGGCAGAATATTCATAGAGAATTAATACAAAATGCAAAAAAAATCGTAATGAATTTCATCCACAATTTGCAAAATATTTTACATAATAAATTTTTATTAAATTTATATCAAAAGTATCCAAAAAGTATAAATATTTGATTATTTAATCAATATTTTGTCGGGTTTCCTTTTGAATCAATTACAGCTTGAACCCTTCGAGGCATGCTATCTACTAATTTTTGCAAATAATGACGATCAAGATTAGCCCACTCTTCCATCAAAAAAGAAACTAATTCATTTGTATTTTTTGGAGGATTCCTTTTGCGAATTGCTTTTTCTAATTGGTCCCAAACATGTTCTATTGGATTGAGGTCTGGTCTTTGAGCAGGCCAAGGGAGTGAAGATATTAAATTTGCCTCTTTCAACATCACCAAGAACATCTACACTACCATTTAACAACATTGCTGCCGTAAATTCTTCTTTAAAAGTATCCAAAAGTCTTGAGTCCATAAAGAAGATTAATAATAATTCAACATCAGCGTCATCATCATCAACAGCTAGAAGACCAACCAAGACAGGACTTCATTTAGAATCTCCCCCATCTTCATCTAACCTTGCTGTAAATTCACAATATACTATTTATTCACCTCCTTTCCACCACCATCAAGTGACCTCTCCTAGAACCTCTCCCCCTCTTTTTACTACAACTTCTTCTTCTCAACCATCACAAACCTCCTTTCCAACTTCAGGCCCATTATCGCCTAATCTTTTGACTCATAAACAAGTATCAAATCAACAACATGGTATTATACAATACAACCAGAATAACCAAAATGATCAACAAATCAACAAAACCGTTCAAACTAATATGACTAATAATAATAATAATAATAATCAATCAAGAAAACATAGTAGTACTCTTAATAATAACAACCATAATCATCGAGGAGATGGTAGGCGACATAACAATACAAATGAACAGCAACAGCAACAGCAACAACAACGGCAAAATTCTCTAAGATTAATTGAACCTGCACCTGCACCTTCTATGTATTGGTCAAAAATAAAAACAAATGGTAAACTGCCTAAGGCTTTAAGAGCACACTCGGTAAATTTGGTTGGTGAGTTGATGTACGTATTTGGAGGATGTGATTTACATACATGTTTCAATACTGTCTATGTTTTTGATGCTGGTTAGTTCACTTTATATTATCATTACTATTATTTTGAGTAAAAGCATTCATTTGTTCATTCATTTGTATATTTATATATCATGAAAATTTAGATACTATGTATTGGAGTAAACCAAGAGTTAGCGGAGAAGGGCCACCACCATGTAGGGCACACTCTTCAACACATGTAGATAAAAAATTATTCATATTTGGTGGAGGAGATGGTCCAGTATATTTTAATGATTTATATATTTTTGATACAGGTACACCATTAAATTGACGAATATTATTATTATTTATAATTATTAATAATATGATGAATAAAATATATTATTGGAAATTTGTTTTATAGAAACATTAACATGGTTTAAGCCTCCGACAACTGGAGACACTCCATCGCCACGTAGAGCACATACCACAGCATACTACAACAATAGTATTTATGTGTTTGGTGGTGGAGATGGTGCACGAGCTCTCAACGATGTCTATATGCTGGATATATCTGATTTGAATAAATTAGTTTGGAAAAAAATAGAAACTAATGGAATTGCACCGATTTCTAGAGGATATCATACTAGTAATTTGGTTGGAAGCAAGTTGGTCGTTTATGGCGGAAGTGACGGCCATGAATGTTTTAGTGATGTTCATATCTTGGATTTAGGTAATTATTAGCATTAGTTATAAACAATTATAGGATTAATCAGTACGAAATAATAATAGCAAATAATAATAATAATAATTGATGTTTCTTAACTGTATAAACAGAAAAAAATAAATGGACTAAAGTTCATAATGGAAAAGCCAATCCAAGACTTTCACATACATCAACTGGTGTTGGATCGTATTTATTTATTGTTTGTGGTCATGATGGTACAAGATATACATCTGAATTACTGTTGCTAAATTTAGGTATTTTCATTACTTTATATATTAAATATATTATTAAACAAACGTAAAAAAAATTAATAATATATTTATATTTATATTTATTTAAAATATAAAGTTACAATGGAATGGGAGAATCGTAAAGTTTATGGAACACAGCCAACTGGACGCGGATATCATACTACAATATTGTATGATTCAAGACTTTTTGTGTTTGGAGGATATGATGGAAAAGTTGTATATGATGATGTTTACGTTTTAGATTTGTCTGCACATGCCTATTTACCTCAAATCACCAATTTTGAACTTCCTGATCTATCACAATAATTTATAATGTAAAATACACACATAATTTTAAAAAAATATATATCCAACTTTACACATTCTTTAATATTAGATGAATATAATCACTATTACATATATATATGTATATATATTATACCATCTAAAGGCTGCCGCCCTAAAAAAATTTCTGCCTTATTATACATACATTGATTCATCCCAAAACTTTAATAATTGATTACTAGTTATATTTGTTTCTTCTAAATACATATCTATTTAATAAATTGATTTAACAAAGAGAATCCAAGTGAGTCGCCTAAAATTAATTAATTAAAATTTAAAAACTTGTATTAATCGTTTTAAAAAATTTTACCAATTTAATTTCAACTCAAGATCTTCTACAAAAGTTAATAAAAGTAGTATTGCTCTAGTTTTCATACATTTATATTTTTGGTTGAAAGTTTTAATTATAACTTTTTATGTCCTCGATCCAAAATCTTAACACTTACGGTAATAAATATATTAATATTTTTAAGGCAGCTACTTTATTTAACCTTACTAAACTTAACTACCTTTGTGACTATAGACCCTTTTGCTGACACTGGTGAAGAAGACGCAGGACAACCAGCTGGGTATATTCGTAAGTTTACTAATTTTTCTTGTAGATACATAATTTTTCGCATGTTGGCTTTAATAAATATTGTTATTAATAGATATTCGTATACAACAAAGAAGCGGAAGAAAAACTTTGACAACTGTTCAAGGCCTTCCTAGCGAATATGATCAGAAAAAATTGTTAAAAGCTTTTAAAAAGGTTTATATGAAAACTGAGAGAAATATATAATTGTGATGTTTAATAATTGCTAATATGAATATTTCATTTTTAATTAATCCCAGGAATTTGCTTGTAATGGAACATTGGTCCAAGACGAAGAACTTGGCCAAGTAATTCAACTTCAAGGAGATCAACGTCTGAAAGTTCAGAATTTCCTTGCTGAAGAAGGAATTGATAAAAAAATCATTAAAATTCATCCCTGGAATTCGGTTGCATCATCATATCATCAGGCGCAAGTCAGATTAGCCTTTTGTACATGAGGAACATGTGAGAATGACTGTAATGTGTTTAAGGTAGTGTGCGTGCTTCAACGTCTGCTAATTTCCAATAATCAAACATTGCATATTGAAATGTCTCTTTTTCAACGGTGTGCTGACATCTTGTGATTATAATATTATAATTAATATATTATAAAAACAAAAAGTTGACATGTAACTTTTACTTACTATTTTTCCTATTTAAATTCTTGTCTATCTGGAGAATCATTACCTCATAACTCTGAGAATAGAATGATCTGTGTTCGTTTGTTTATATATATAATAAAAAAATAATGATAGTTAAATAGTAATAATAAAAAAGATTGACGGACGATTTATTTATTATTGTTATTATTATTAGAATTTTTTTTTTTGTGACAAAATTTTATTCTAAAAACGTAGATCATATCAATATTACTTTATTACATATTGTGGTTAAAAATAGAAGTTGATCCAAAATTTAATTGACGATCCATTCGGTCTGAGATTTTATAAATATATAATTAAAGTAAATCGTGTAATTTATGGCGTTTCCCTCGCCGGAAAAACTGGTAAAATAAAATCTTTGACCCCTGAAAATTCTTTTGACATCGTACACTTTTATATGATATTAATATTAATATAATATTTTCCTAAATTATTAATTAAAAAAAAAAAAACTTGTATTAATCGTTTTAAAAAATTTTACCAATTTAATTTCAACTCAAGATCTTCTACAAAAGTTAATAAAAGTAGTATTGCTCTAGTTTTCATACATTTATATTTTTGGTTGAAAGTTTTAATTATAACTTTTTATGTCCTCGATCCAAAATCTTAACACTTACGGTAATAAATATATTAATATTTTTAAGGCAGCTACTTTATTTAACCTTACTAAACTTAACTACCTTTGTGACTATAGACCCTTTTGCTGACACTGGTGAAGAAGACGCAGGACAACCAGCTGGGTATATTCGTAAGTTTACTAATTTTTCTTGTAGATACATAATTTTTCGCATGTTGGCTTTAATAAATATTGTTATTAATAGATATTCGTATACAACAAAGAAGCGGAAGAAAAACTTTGACAACTGTTCAAGGCCTTCCTAGCGAATATGATCAGAAAAAATTGTTAAAAGCTTTTAAAAAGGTTTATATGAAAACTGAGAGAAATATATAATTGTGATGTTTAATAATTGCTAATATGAATATTTCATTTTTAATTAATCCCAGGAATTTGCTTGTAATGGAACATTGGTCCAAGACGAAGAACTTGGCCAAGTAATTCAACTTCAAGGAGATCAACGTCTGAAAGTTCAGAATTTCCTTGCTGAAGAAGGAATTGATAAAAAAATCATTAAAATTCATGGTTTCTAAGAGCAATTCTCGCTTATTTTTATATAGCCATGTTAAAATACATAAATATATTTTGTTTTTCTTTTTCTTATAGAGTTATATATATATTTATTATTATTAATAAAAAAATAGTTAATATTAAAGATTAATATAATATGTGAACAAAAAGTTTTTTTTAAATAAATGGGGAAAATAAAGTTAATAAACAAAAGATAATAATAATCCAACAAAACAAAAGTAGGTAAATAAATAATGTATAACCCACACCAAATCTTGAAAATAAAATGAAAATCTTTAATGATAGCTTGAAATTAGTTTCTTATTTAATATATGAATGTTTTTATATTGTGCTTAAATTATTCATCACAAGAGAAACAAATAAAATTAATAATGTCACAATTCTTAATTAAAATAATAATTTGACTATTTATATATTACCTTTTCTTTACAATGATAATGTACAACTATGCCATTTGGAAAAACAGCAAATGATCAATAATCAATTATTTATTATTGGATCTTCAATTATATATGAAATACCTATTTTCAATACGTCTTGTACATTGAGGGCACATTCGATCTTCGTCAATTTTGACCCTTCGAGATCGATAATACACCAATTGTTCTTCAGCCTAATAATATTTAAGAGTCGTTAATTAAATTAAATCAAATCAATGATAATCACATTCCTAAATATATCTGTTTTTGGTCAGCTTTTAGCAAATTTTCAACAATGGCATCCATATTCCTATTTTGATTACTTTCTCTGATGTATTTCTCAAAAATGAATATAATTCAGAAACTTTTGTTGCAGCTGGAAGCATATTCAAAGCCTTATATATTTAAAAACAATAAATATTATAATATCATAATTGTTAATTAAAAAATAACCATCTCTTAAATCTTTACCTCAGTTCCATCCACATGTAACAGTAACCTTAAAGCTGATTCTATTGTAACTTGTTCTCCGTTACTTGGATATAAATATATTCTTAACAATGACATAAAAACATTTTTCTACCATCATCAGTCACTTTATAATTTTTAATACAATATCTATACATTTGTATTAACGCCAACACACACACACATATATATAATATATAGTTTTGATTGACTTTTTATTAAAAATTATTTTGAAACATACTCCTCAGCCAATTGTTCCTTTTTTCAGTTTTTGTACATAGATTTTTAATGCTTGATCATGTCTACTCAATAAAATCGCACGAGCTTCATAAAAATCTATTAAATAATAATATCAATTTTTATTATCAATTATATTACATTAACATTATATATATGTATATATATTATACCATCTAAAGGCTGCCGCCCTAAAAAAATTTCTGCCTTATTATACATACATTGATTCATCCCAAAACTTTAATAATTGATTACTAGTTATATTTGTTTCTTCTAAATACATATCTATTTAATAAATTGATTTAACATGTAAAAGATATTTATTATTGAAGTTGATTCCAAAATACCTGCTTGATTGCTATTATCACTTTTACATTTTTGGCATATTTGTCTCAACTCCAAAACTTTTTCAAATAAATTATTACCAATCGATTATGATGATTAGGAGTTGCTCATAAATATATGTTGTAAATGTATTATGCAGAAATTTTCTAAATATTTCAAAACTTGATCTTTTGGTAAAATTTTGAACATCAGGAAAATCATCAATAAAAATCTAAAACAATAATATAAAACAAGTTTTTTTTTTTGCAACATAAATCATCATAACTTATAGCAAGAAAATGAATATTAATTTCATACATCCATTCCATTATCAGGATCATTTTCTAATGCCCAAGTAGCAAATTCCAATATCAATTCAAAGTATTCAATACTTAAGCGTTGAAGGTATGTTATGGTGTAGAATGTTCCTTTCATAGGTCCCTCAGACGATTGACTAAGCCTATGTAATTAATATTTTGGAATGAAGATTTATCTATCTATCTATCAGCATAATTTTAAAGATTTTCGATGTTTGCCTTTTCCATGATATAAATCAACCAATTCTTTATATTTCTATTATATAATAAATTAGGATCATTATTATATTTTTTTTAAAAAAACTTTTTTGTTGCAAATTTCCAAATCATATATATAAATAAAATTTGATTTTTATGATACCTTTAGATCAAATAAAATTCCTTCGGTTTCTTCAACATTTACATAATTATATACACGAAGTAATGGTCCAACTGATGCATCATTGGTCATCATATAAGCTTTTAAAATAGCGTATATATTAGTTCTGCAAGCTCCAAAATATGGTTTAAGCCTTCATTTGTTAAACCAATTCTATCAGATGATGATGAATCAAGTGACATTTGTTCATTTGGATTATAAACCTGTTGATGATGTATGATTTTAAAATCTTTTGCAGTCAATCAGTCAAAAATCTTATTAACGCTGAAACAGCCTTTTCCAATTCCTTTCTCTATAACATCAAACACTTTAAAAAAGGCGATGAAAATAATAATCATAAATAATGTATTTTAAAAAAGACAAAAATAATATAAACCTAAGATTTCATTTTCTATGGTTTCGATTAAACCATTTTCATCTTCCGTTTGTGCTGCTATTCCTTTTTTTTTCATATCAATCTTACCGCATCCCTTCTCATTTATTTTCGATTTATGATGAAGGCAATTTGATACAGATGATGGGTACAAAGCAATAACTTCTGCAGGGCCAGTTTCCAACTCTTGAAAAATAGTCATTTCAGCATCAAAATTCTTGAGTCGAAAAAGATGACGTGCATAAAGATTACGTATTTGATAAAGTTTTGCGTCCTACAACAGCAAAAAAACAATAATTTTTAATTATGATTTTAAAAAAGTAATTAAAATATAATAATAATTTTGATTTTTACCTTATTTTCAAGATGAAGGGGATCGATTTGTTCAGTCAAACTTATTACCTCTTGATATTCAAGCTTTTTAACTAGTTGATCAATCTAACACAATAATTGAATATTCATATATTCATATATATATATATATATATATATAAGTTATTCAAAAATCTTGCCAAAAAAAACTTGCAAATGTAAATTACAATAATCTTTATTATATACTTAATTTTCAAAATTTATCCCCAAATAGTATTATTATTAGCAATATATAAATATTTTCCTTGATTAATAAGCCGTGGTTGTGGTAGTTCTATTGTTTGTACTAATGATTGAGTAACTATATTCCTGATTTTAACGTGGTTTGGAAGTATAGCTACAAGATAAGGATAGGAATATCCTAAAGTAAGAATAACAATAAAACAGCGATTAATATTTGTGTATACAAACATACAATATTTATATATTTATAAATAACTTATTTAAAGCTTTCGAACCTATTTATTCTGGTGTTCCTGGCCAATCAATTCCAACCTTACGAATAGGTGTACCATCAAGTCCAACGAAAATACTTACATCTAAAATTCAATAAAAATAAGAATATAAATTTTTTCACAATTCAATAAATCAATTACTCGTCGCCTTTCAAAATAATAAAATTTGACGCTCACTATCTTTAGCCAAAAGAATTCATTATTTGATAACTTTGTTATTAATAGCTTACTAACTTTTGCGCTAAATGATGCCACCATATAACTGAAACCAGAATTAATATGTGAAAAAAGCTCCTTCAAAACACCAGAACCAATATCCAACAAAACATATTCATTAGCTAAACCAAGACAAAATTTTGTAAAACACCCAAACTATTGTCCGTATTCTATCAGGTATTGATGTTTCCTAGAATATATATTTATAATATACTTTTAGAGAAGAAATCGGGATCATAAACAATATGCATGTATAGTTCTAAATACTTTATTATCAACAAATCCGGTGTCCTTCCAAGTGAAAATAAGTGATTTCTTTTTTACAGCAACAGAAAGACGAGTCACTATTGTTGAAATTCTACTGCCACCTCTTCCTGACTTATTTCAATAGAAGTATCGATTGCAAATAATTGGCACCATGTGTTTTAGCTAATTGCTTTTGCATGTAAATCATAGACGTTGACATAGAAATCTTTGGAAAATATATTAGCAAACGTATTCATATTTATAATAATAAACTAAGAGTTAAATTATATGTTAACACGATCTTCTGACATTAAAATCATAATAAATTATCTAAAATTTTTATGAAAAACCTGAAAGTGCAACCAATATCACATTTAATTGTTCAATGATCTTTTTGAAAATTTTTGTAAGTTTCAATAAATTAACGGACAAAGGTTCTTTCTCTATATTACAAGAGAAAAAAAAATCGAATTAGGATATAAAATAACGTTGTTAATATATATGTGTGTATAATTTATAATACCTAAAGGTTCCTTGATTTCATACACAAGTAATGAACCTGTAGAAGTTCCAACAAACAACTTTTGATCTAATATAATGCAAAAGAATTAAACAAATTTCATTAACGTTCTATTTAATTCTCATAAAAATATACCATAAGCATAGAGCGACTCTATTTTGATGTTTAATATATCTAATGCGACAGATATTGTGAATCCCAGGTTTTGTGATTTATTATTTTATTATATATTTAATCAATCAACAAATTTTAGAATGCACTCAATTTTTCATTTGATCTAAATTTTTTTGATTTGATCAAATTTGTACCCTCTGGAATATACCAGATCAAAATGTTTATTATTATGGAGAGTCAGATATATTTGATGACATGTATAAATAAAAGCACATGTGTCTTTAATGTATATAGAACCAAAAAAAATCCAAGACTGCCGTTCGAAGAACAAGAATATATTATTACAAAGGTCATAATTTACTGTATATTAATATCATTTTGTTACCATTTATTCATCCGTTTAAGGTAGTCATCATAAATTAATATTTTTACAACAAAATAATGGCCTTTATAATATACAATACTCGGAAGAAAGTATCATAATAGTGTTCCTTGTCACATCCATTTTTATATAACACAAAGGTAGTTGCATCCAATCATCAAAAGCTGCAGCCAGTAGTAACTTTATATCATAAAAAATTTCTACATAATAATAGCTTTACGTAAAATTTATAATTGTTGGTTCAATTTTAAAACCAAAATTGAATATTAATATATCGCGATTTTGAATCACGTTTTAATTTTTAACTCATATTAGTATTAGGGGGGTGTCATAATTCTAATATAATGTCACATAATGTTGATCAATAAGTTTGTTTTTTTCGAGAGCACATGTATTTCCGAAACACTACTAGTCTACGAAAAAGAGATATCATTCCCGTTTTTGAATATATCTCTCTAGTTAATCGGCACAGAAGTTTTTTAAAGTTATAAGGGTTTGAAAGGACCAAGAAAATTCTATTAAATGTGACCTCCAACACTATGATTTGAAAGTACTTAAAAAAAAAGTGGCCGCATCATCATAGATTTGCATTGATAGAAAATGGAAAAGGTCACCGCCGATCACTAAACATTAAAAATTGGCTACTAAAATTTTTAAAGGCATCTTTGTAAAAAGCCGACCATTTATTTTTATTAATTATTATACTGTATATATGAAATTTCGATATAAAGAGGTAAAAAAATTTTTTTGTTTGTAATTCGGTAAATAGAGGTTCGTTATTATTATAGTATATATATATAGTAATTAGTTTTACTGTAGCTCCCAAAGATTGTCAATTTTAGTGTCGCCTTTAGTTTAGATTATTACAAAATTTAGCCAATGAAATCAAATGTCCACTATGCTTGCACCCAGTAGTGGATTGTACTACTGACACACGGATTTTGAGCTGCAGTTAATTCTGGCAACCAATTGCTAGCGAAATAATAATATTTATCTTTTTAAAACCAAAGCATACACATATATTTATCTCTTTTTAAAAAAGGATAGGATAACCACACAATTATTTTCACTTAAAAAAATGATAAGACATTTCGAATGTAAGTTTTGTTATTGATTAGATAAATCTTTGATCTTTTTAATGAAATTTTTTAAAAGTTATTTTTATTGTATTATTTGTTAGATTTTGCTGGTGAACGACGTCTTCTTCAAATAGCCTCACTCTCTTTTTTGAAAGATACACGTCTTGGAATTGATGGTGCACATTGGTTACGTAAACTATTGCAAACATGTGCTAAAGAGCCTGCTATTGCTGCATTAGGAGGTATTCCGATTGGACTTAAGAATGCAATTGAAGAAGAATTGCAACAATTCAAGTAATTATTGTTAATATAAATATTGATATTTTGATTATATTCCAAATAAATGAAATGGTTCTTTATTGATGATTATAAAGGTTGCATGGAATTACAC